GTCTGTGCACAAGTCACTTATAAAAATAAGTGACTTGTACATGGACAATTACTTCCGAACCTGGTAGTATTGCATCATGTCTGCAAGCAGGTCCTTGGATAATGCAGGCCACCCTTTGATAATGCAGGTGTGCAGCTTGCGTTGCTCTGGGCAGGAAGAGCAGACATCTGTGAAGTCAGACATGGGGACAGCAGCAACAGCATGGCATCACTGGGTGCTGGAGCATCAACAATGGCTAGAATGTGGTTGTCATTCGGCAGCATACTTATGATATGGCCCAGGTAAGTCAGCTTCTGGTGGAATTTGCATTTCTCTGTATTCAGATGCAGTCCACCTTCCTGTAGTCTGTAGAGTACAGCTTTCAAGCGTGTTGCATGATCAGCACAGCAAGAAAATTTGTAGACAATGTCATCAAGATATGTTTGAACTCCAGGAAGGTCTTGCTACACCATGGACATCTTCTGAAATGCTGAGGGCGCTGATGCTAGCCCAAAACAAACTTGCTTGTACCTAAAGAGCCCCTCATGGGTTATGAAGGCAGTCAGAACTCTGCTGTCCTTGTGCAGAGGAACCTGATAGTAGGCATTTGAAAGGTCGATGGTTGAGAACATGGTTGCTCCTCTGAGTTCTGAATTGAGCTCCTTCATGTGTGGAATAGGATAGCAATCTGTCACTATGGCCTTGTTGGTCTCCCCAACAATCGTCGTGATTCAACGGAAGAACTCAGCCACAATACGGATGTGTGCAGACCGGGTCTGTACACGTCCGTATTGTGGCTGAGTTCTTCCGTTGAGTCACGACGATTGGTGACACCCAGGGAGACGCGTTGATCGCATCTAGTAGGCATTTTAACTCTGAAACAGCATCTCTGACCGAGAAGGAGGATAATTTCTTAATTTCTGTTGCACAGGTTTCACCTCATCTCTCACTTTGACTTTATGCACAAAGTTTTTCACACAGCCAATGGTAGGTAGTGGCAGAGCGGTAGTGGCAGGTGGAGGAGGAGCTGCTATCTCCCTGAATGTCTGTTCAGATTTGAGTATCACTTTGTTTCCCCCAATGACTGTTTGCAGTGCCTCAACGAAGTCCAACCTCAGCAGCAGTGAACCTTCCTCTACAATGTAAAAGGAGGCTCAGGCAGAACATCCATGATGAGGTTCATCTTCTGCACCACTTCACCGACAGTGTGCTGGCATCCCGCACGGCCGATTCCATGTGATTTGCAATCTGAATGGCCTTATCCAGTGTCAGTTTATCTTCTAAGAGCAAACGTGTATGTATGCATCCACTGTAGGCTTTTTCCATGATTTGATCTTGTAGCATATCTTGCTCTGCCATTCCGAATTCACACACTGAGCATCTCACATAGCATGTAAACGTATTGTGCAATACGTCATCATGTCTCTGCACTCCTTGCAAAACTTATGTTTCAGCAAGACATTTACCTTCTGCAAAAAATGTGCTCACAGGGCAGCCACAGAATGATCGTAAGTAGTCCCTGTTTGTTGCTGCGCCAGACAATACGAACCCGGCGCGCTAACACAAGACATATTGCTGTTCAGTCTCAGGAAGAGCTAGAGATATATTCAGGCAGAGTGTGTGTGTGTATGTGTGTCTGGTCTCGAGGCTGCCTGAGGGGTAGGCCTACACAGAGCCTTATGAAAAGGATTTGAGCTGACACGAATCACAGGAGATTAATTATTCAAGCAGCACAGCGCTGCATCATTTCTGACGTCTTGTGTCTTTTGGGGAAGGCGAGGGGAGCCGGTAACAATAGGCAGCAGCACCTCTCCCTTTCGTCGCATGAGAGCCTCGGGATAGAGCAAACAAGCAACCTCTATTTCTCCTGCTCTCTCCAGAGGACAGGGCATTATTTCAGAAAACAGAGTAGAAATAATGGCTCCCTCTCGCACTATGACAGCCATTGCGGCACGGTGCATCATAACAGATTGCTGGTCTATCACTCCCCCACCCAGGATGAAATGACAGCACTGGCTGACAGATAGCACTCCGCATCTCAGCCGAGTAACTGTTGCTTCTGGCTTAGCTCTGCTTTGATGTTATTATACTAAACAGCCTGCAGCACTCGGCTGCCATTTCCCCAACCTGAGACGGAGGGGTATAGTCTCACAAAGAACTAGAAATATAAATACATATACAATAGGAAGGTGGAGCAATTGGTAACAATACATTGATTAGTTGCTTTCCTGGTAATTTTAAAATAAATATATTATTCAATTATCAAGCAAATCTATATTTGTATAATGTGGGCCTTCAAACACAATCTTTTATTGCCATTGAATGGAATAAATGAATAGATTGAGTCAGAGTTAAAGTTTAAAACCAGATGGTGAATGATTCAGGCAGTAGTATAATAAATTGACCTTTTAAAACACTGTTTCCTTGCAGTTAGTGCTGGGGGTGAAATAGAGTGCACTACAAAGACTGTAAAACCGGTTAAGCATGAGATTGCAGTGTCAGCAAATAGCCATTATGGTTAATCACTTCAACATGGCATCATATTGGAAAATCAGCAAGCAACGCTTTACCTAAATGAAAGAAGCAAACGCATGTGATGTGGTGTAACTTAGTCATTTATTTTAATTCCACAAATTTTTCAAAAAAAAAATACAAAATACTCAAAATGGAGAGAACACAGGACTCACAATTGTTCTTATTATTTCTACTTTTTGTTTACATTGTGTCATCCCAGGGCAACTACTAGTATGTACAATAAGCTTCAAGATAACCAGTATATATATATAAATCTTAGCAGTCAGAATTTACATTCTGCTATTGCCGCTTTGAAACAAGAAGCTAAACCATTGACAACATTTAACATCAAAGCTTCTTGGAGACACGAAAAGAGGGACTTGGAAGGCAGGAAGGATATTGTGGGGGGGGGGGGGGGGGAGAGAGAGAGAGACAGAGAGAGAGACAGAGAGAGAGACAGAGAGAGAGAGATTAAGTGACAAATAGATTCTCTCTGGGCTTGCCAGACTTAATGACATAAGCTGGCCTACGTCTGCAAGCATCCAAACACGTTTGATAGTGTGGTATCTTCCAAACATACGAACCCTACCTCTGTACGTGTTCATGGATAAACAAAAAAAAAAAAAAACGAGTGTAGCCACAGTTTACCGGGTATCAATACAAAGTAAAAAAAGAAAAATAACTAGTTATTGGTGCATTGAACAAACAACGCAAGGAACACCAAAAACCTTGAATGTATGCTAAGGCAGGGTGCCCAGAGAGAAATCAAACATGGGCGTACACATACTGGTTTGACAGGTGAGCATACTTGTAACAGTCAGTGATCACACACACACACACACACACACACACACACACACACACACACACACACACACACACACACACACACACACACACACACACACACACACACCCTCCACCGAGGAACAGAAGAGGCTGGTGGTCCCTTTCTTGGGGTCCCGGGTGCAATGGGACACAACCCTACACCCACCCCTCCACCCCCCTCTGCTCCATAGTGTCAACAGCCAAGATGGAGGATGACCCATGACGGCATGAACCGTAATACAGAACAGGGTTTGAGCTTTCTTCTGGCACCGGTTGAAGACCAAACCATCTGATTATGTCTTGTTGGGCTCCAGTTGCAGTTGTGATGAAATGTTAAAATCTGTTTCTATAGAACAGGCGTTAAAAGAACATGGAGGATTTACCCTCGAGTAATTCCTCAGTTCGGCCCAAAATTTAAATATGTTGCGGGCTGTTACAATGTAAATGAAACATTTCTCAGCTTTTTACCTGGAGCATTAAAAACCAATGGGTGGAGCTAAAAGATGTTCTGTCAGTGCAATTTGTCTTTCCTTTCCTCCTCGTTGGCTCAAGTGTGTTCTTTACAGGAGCCTTGGTGACCACAGCGTCACCTTTTCAAGTGTTTTCAATTAATTTAAACTCACGCCGAGTTCACACAGTCTAACAATCTGGTGCCTCTCGCAATATTGTGTTTAATGAACAAATTGATGAATGAATGAACGAGTGAATGCGGATGTGACAGCTTCATAGATCGCAGACACAGCTGTATTAAGAGAAACGTCCACACATTGAACCACGACTCTCGCAGGGGAAAAACGTCAACAATAAAAAGGTTGGCTGCCTGTGTAATGCCTTGGTTCTCCCCTCTGAAACAAGGGATAATGCTTCGAAAAACATTTTTTTTACTGGAGGTTGAGACGACTTGGGTTGGAGTCCACACCTAGTAGTAATAATAATAATTATAATAATAATTATATGTTTATATATACTATTTACAGACTCAGAAATGCCATGCTGTAGCCTTTCTTAAAATTATGAAAAAAAACAACAATGTATTAAAATAAATGTTGAATTTAAGAATAGCACTTGTATATTTTCCATAAACGGTCTGACCGGTCTCATATTTTTAAAAATCTTTTTTGTTGTCGTCATTGATAAGCACAGTGTCTTGTTCTAGCACCTACAAAAAATGTCAAGGAAGTTTGTCATGCAGGAGTCTTGAGAATGTTGTTACTACTGGCTATATACCAAAGAAAGTCAATGTCTTGAAAATCAATGATAACAAAAAAGGTCCATGGACAAGAATGAAAGCAAAAACAACGACCGATGATCCACTCATGACTGAATGTGTGTTCAGAGGAGTTCTCGCCTGCCTCTGTAAGACCAGTCTGTAAGAACTTCCTGCCGCGTCTCTGGCTCTCTGGCTCCTCCCCTCCAGCAGGGGGGGGGGGGGGGGGGGGGGCGCTCTTACAGCTGCTTGTCGCTCTCCTTCTTCAGTCGACTGAAACAACAAATCAAACGCACCTCGCATTAGTTGTGGTTGGCGTTTCAAGCTACATACATACATTAGATACAGGACCAATATGGGTGGGCAGGATAGTCTAGTGGTTAGGGGGTTTGAGTTCTGCTCCTTAATGACTTAATTCTCCCCCAAAAAAGTCACTTTGAATAAAAGCATCTGTAAATTGACTAAAAGAGGGGCAGGTTTAGTGGTTAAGGGGTTTGACTTCCAGCCAAAGGGTTCTGGGTTCAAGCCCCAAAGTTTGCATCCTAACATGGAGGCATCCTTAAGCAAAATACCTAACCCCTAACCTGCTCCTTAATGACCAAGTTCAGGGTCTCCCACAACTATCTATAGGCGCAGCACCTTCGCTAAATGGCCATCTGCCTCTACAAACAAATTAACTTTTCACAATATGAGGACACCAATGTGAGTGTCTGTTTTAATATAATACACCGTAATAAATCTATGTTTCTGCATTTTAGTTTTCAGTTAACACCGCTAGACTTGGACCGTGGACTAACCATTCGTTCACTGCTGAAGATCACTTTATTAGGGAACATGAATATAGAGTAAACATACGTCTCCTCAAGAAGCATTTATCTCAATAATTATTTTTTTCCTCTTAGCCATGGTTAATATGTAACCCTGATGCAATTGATGTAGGCCTATTAAAAGGTGCTGTAGGCAAGATATATAGCCTGCCTATATGTCTAAGAGCTTTCATTTGAGTGTAATTTGTTAATGGCATAGTCATCAGTCAGGTATGTGAGAATATCTGTTTCTAGTTGCCCTGACAGTCGGTCAATGGTCGGCCATTGGCAAAAGTCGGCTGTTGGTGAGCATCTGTGTCCCTAGTTTTTGCGGTGTGTCCCGCACCGTTGGCACTAGTCTTCCCTTGTCTGCGGTTGTTTGGCCGATTCAGCATGTGGAATTGGGGACGGAGGCCGTCGGTGAGAGAAATCACTCTGATTGATTGTTCAGCTTAAGCGAATCAGCACACGAGAAGAGAAACGGAAGTAAGCAAAGCAGCAAACTACTTTGTCAAGAGGGCACACACAAAAACATACTAATGTACTAATAAACATACATACTAATATACATACTAACTTCTAATATTCTCCATTAGAAGTAGCTATATTATGAAACCGTCTGAGCGAGAGTGGTGTGAAAATGGTAGGCAAATGCTACTTTGTTTCCTGTTTGTATATATCCGCAGTCCTACAGTAGGTCTTCCAGTGTCCCTTTTTGAATGACGAATACAGACTACAGCCACCTGCTGGTGTAGAGAGTTATTTCCTCTGACGCAGGCGCAGAACGTACATGCTAGTTGGCCGTTGGCTGTAGTCTTTGCGGTGTGTTCAAGGGCAACTTTTTGGCCAAGACACAGGAGACGTGAGGCGACACAACAGTCGGCCTTCGTCGTTGCTAGTTCTAGACCGGTCTAATAATAGGGGGATGCAGGACTCACCTGTAGTAGTCCTCCTGGCCAGGCAGCGGTCCCCCATGCATGTGGTGGTGCCCGTGGAGCCACTGCTGCTCCATGGCCAGCCTCTGCAGCTCTGCCGACTGGGCGTGCATGGCCTGCAGCTGGTGGGCGGCGGACATGGGTGGCGCCAGGCCCGCGGGGAGGTCCCGGGGGTAAGGGGTCCCTGGAGAGGAAGAGGGGAAGTGAGAGAGATGAGAGATCGAGCTTCTGTGAAACTCAAAACTGTTTTAGTTCTGCTTTTGAATACGTAGCATTGAGGTCGACGAGGTGTGAAGAGACTTATGGTGGTCTCTTACCGAAGACGGGGTGACGCAGCATCTCGTGTTCGTGCGGCGGCTGTCCCATGAGGGGGTTGGGGATGGCGCCTGGCGGGTAGGGGAAGCGGGCCAAGTGGGGTCCTGCTGCCAGGGGATCCATCGCCAACGGATGGCCCCCGGAACCTGGAGGACACACAAGGCATTCACCACCACCTTCTGGGAGTCAGTGTCTTTAGGGTCAGGGCACACATCTCATTGCATCATGTATCACACTGCATGCCATCAGACACTGTCTACACATCAATATTGTAACTAGAGACTAAAATAACTGCCAATAAAATAATTATAAAATAGAATTAAACGATTACAGGTTTAAAAACTGTCTAGACATTGTTATTATGGGTATCACTTTACAATAACAAATGTGTATGTAGAAATGGAACAATTGGTCTTAGTTTGTCTTAAAGCCTTCCGCATACTTGACGATGGCTGTAAATAGCCGTAACATTGATGTGCATGGATGAAGGGATGTGTGCAGGGCTTTCGCTCACCTTGGTGGAGGGGGTCCTGCTGGTGGAGGTGGAGATGGGAGTGGATGTGCGAGTGCTGGTGGTGGTGTGGCGTGACATTGAACATCTGGAGCCGGGCAATGGGGTCGTTGGCCACGGACGCCATCCTCTCCACGTGGAGTCTTTCGGCGGCCAGGCGCTCCGGGTAGCTCATCTCAGGCCGCAGCTGGGGACCGGCTAGTGCCAGTCGCTCCCGCTCCAGAGGGTTTAGGCCTGGGTGGAAGGAGGCGAAGGGGTGGGGGCCGGCCATGGGGGGTAGCGTGATGGCCCCGTGGCGGGCAAAGTGTTCCATGGGGTTGGTGGAAGGGTGCATGCCGTCCATCTCTGGTGGCTTCATCTCGAATCCCGGCTTCATGCGCTCCCGCAGCTCCCTCTCGCGGATCTCCCGCTCGCGCATCTCTCGCTCCCGGAGCTCGCGCTCGCGCATGGCCGGGTCCGCGTTGTACAGGCCAGGCATGTGGTAGGCCAGCAGGGGGTCGGCCGGGTTGAGCGACACAAAGAAGGGGTGGTTGCGGTTCGTGGGCGACATGACGTGGGGGCGGGCGTACTCACTGAGGGTGCGCAGGGCGGGCGTGTCTGGGCCGATGTAGGGCGGTACGGCGGCTATGGTGGTGGGGGGCCCTTCGAAGGGAGGCCGCACGTGGGCGGGGCCTGCCATCTGAGGGTCGCCCATCCTTCCGTCGTGAGAGCTGGACGCTTTCTGTGGGGGAGAAGAAGAAACAAGTTAAGGCAAATAAACATGTTTTTATACAATTTACTTTTTATAATGCTATTAGATTATAAAAAATAGAAAGTAATTGTATGAAAGGGCTCACCGCGGCTCTCTCTGCCTCCTTTTCTCGTTCCCGTTCTCTTTCCCGCTCTTTTTCTCGCTCTCTCTCCTTCTCCTTCTCCTCCCGGATCTTCTGCTCTGCCTCCCTCTTGGCTTTCTCCAGAGCCTCCTCTCGCTTCTTGGCCAGCTTGGAGGAAGCCAGTGGAGTGAAGTATAAGTCCGTCCTAGAACACGAGTTGTAGCCGCGGTCCAGGTGCTTGTAGAACCTGTGGTCCAAAAACAGAAAAATGATATATTACTGCTGGTGGTGTTACCCCATGCCATCCTGTGGTATCCAATAGTAACCACATTCCCCTGCCCGTCGGTTTGTGCCTCTATGATGAGTTTAAAGAAAACCTCACTGCTATGTATTGGTAGTCTGTGAGTAACAAGGCACAAACACAAGGTAACTAAAGAAGCCCATATTCAGAGGCCTCCGTTCCCTCTTATCCCACTGTAATTAATTGACCTGCTCTCTGGATCATCATCACCAAGGCTAATCGTGGCTTTGAATGAAGCGTTTGGCTGAAGACATTCAGTTTAATGCATACTGACTGTGACGAAGCCCTGAGCTACACAACATCCTGAAGATGAGTCCACCTCACTCAGACGACTCTCTCACTCTGCTGAACGACTGTGGTGTACCTTGCCGATTGGCTAGCGTGGCTGGGAGTGTTGATGACGGTGGGCTCGGGGGAGGGGCTTCTCTGTGGCGGAGGCGGGCTCTCTGGCTCCTCCATCTCATCCAGGGGCTCCTCCTTGATGTGCACAGTCGGGAGTGCGGGGCCACTACTGGAGCAGGAGACGGACGCGGGAAGGGGCATTGAGATGGACAAAGACGACGACGACGCGGAGGAAGGAGGCTGCATGCCTGCCATGGGATTTGTCGAGGGTGCAGGAGGGCCGACGGGTGGCAGAACAGGGCTGAAGGGGTGAGAGGGATGAGAGGGGAAGGGTGACTGAAGGGGGGGACCGCCGGTGTGTGCAGCAGTGGATGGTGGCAGGGGAGGTGGCTGGGATAGGGGCTGATGGCCGGACGACAAGGGGAGGCTCTGGGACTGGGTGAGGATGGGAGGCTGGGCCGGAGGGGGGTGCAGCTGCTGGCCCTGAGGCATGAGCTGCAGGGGAGGTGGGTGCGCCGAGGGTGGGTGGTGGGTGGACAAGGAGCTGAGGGGCTTGAGGGCGGGGCGGAGGGGGCAGGTTGGAGGGCATCTGGGGGAAGGGAGGGGCCGAGAGGTGGGGCGGGTGCTTGTGGGACTGGGGATTCGACATCTGGGGGATGGGGGTGGTGGGCGGGGGTTTGATGTGGGGCATAGACATGGGGGCGGGGAGCAGCGGCTGCTCCCGGGGAGGGGGCGTGTGGGACCTCGGCTGTGATTGGCTGGCGACGGAAGAAGGCAGGAGCTGAGGCTGGCCCATGGGGGGGAAGCCTTGAGGAGAGTGGGGCATGTGTCCCGAGGGGCCTGCCTGTAGAGGGTGAGGCATGGGGGGCATGGGGCTGTGGTGTGAGCTGGGTAACGACTGGGGAGGGCCCGGAGGACCCGGGGTTGGAGCCTGAGTCATGGGGGAATGAGGAGATGGCAGCCTCTGAGGATGGAGGGCAGCTCCTGATTGGATGAGAGACAGAGGGCCAGCCTGGGGATGAGGCTGAGGAGGTAGAGAGGAGGCTGCAGCAGCTGTAGGGGGGAGCGGCAGGGGGATGGGGGGGGCCGAGGACGTGGGGGGAGCTGAGGAGGTGCCTGGCTGACAGTGGATGACTGGAGGGTGCTGCTGGGCCTGCAGGAACTGCTGCTGTTGCTGTTGTTGTTGCTGCTGCTGTTGTTGTAGTTGCTGCTGGGCGGACGAGTCCGAGTCGCTCTCGTTGTCGCGGGGGCTGGGGATGCTGGGTGAGGAGCTGCGGTTGTCCTGGTCAATGTCTTTGGGGTCGCTGCTCAACTCCTCATTGACGCTGCGTCCGTCCGAGCTCTCGCCCTCACCCTCCCCTTCGCACTCCGACGGCGAGTCCGGTCGGCTCAGCTCCTTCAGGGACAGAAGACAGAGAGGTGTCAACTCCTCAAGGACAGACCTCAGTAGAATCTGCAATATTTTACCTAGACACCAAATCATATCTCAATGATGGCATCACACAGGTTAGGGAATAA